GACCCGGGCAGGCCAGGCCACACCGGCCCTGCGCTGTGCCTCCCTCCGACAGCCCGACTCGCTCCGTCTCAGGGACTGCACGGGCCGTCTCCTGTCTGCTCTTCCTGGTGCGCTCTTCCCAGACCTCTGCCCACTGAGACCCAACTTCACATCGCAGCACCGCCTTTCCCGCTGCCGTTCAGCGCCGGTCAGCATCCTGCACATTGCATGGGCGATTTCTCCCACAATGGAACTAGCTTCGCCAGGGCCCGGGTTCTGTTCTTACTGTGTCCCCAGTGCCCGAAACAGTGGGGGACGCAGAGTAGGTACTACTCCTGAAATGTGTGGGAGGAACGGATGAATATTGATAAATGCCATAAAGACGTGTGGGTAGGGGCTGGCGGTTAGGGAGGGCCTCTCCAAAGAGGTGACCTTTGAGCTCAGATCTGCAGGAGGAGGGCAGGAGGAGGGGGGGGGGAAGAGTTGGGGGAGGGGGTCCCAGGCAGAAGGCGCAGCGCAGCCCATGCAAAGGCCCTGAGGTGGGAGGGAGATTGGGGTGCTGACTTGATCACGCAGGGCCCACAGGGTTACAGTCTGAGGAGGAAGCTGGTGAGAGCCATCCACAAGCCCCCCCCCCCCCACACCCGGACCTATCTGGCCAGAATCCCGCACAGTCTGCGTTGAGTAAAGGGAGCCAGACTGGGCCCATCACCCACAGTTCTTTCTTTCTTTTTCTTTTTTCCAAATTAGAAAGTTACAGAAGTAGTAGAAGCGAGCCAGCTGGGCTGCGTGGGCTCAGGAAACAAGTTAGAGGCAGAAGAAGGGCCCTTTGGCTCCAGAGAGGGAAAGACAAAGCTAACACACTTGCAGGGAAGAGGAGGGGGAAGGGAAAGGCCGGGAGCACGCCTCACCCTCGGTTCTTCATTTCCACCCCCTTGGTTCCTGGGTGGCCCTTTTCCAGAGAACACATGATACCCGCAAAATCCCACAGGAGTAGGTTGCCAGACAGCAAGTGAAGATACAGGACACCCAGTTAAGTATGAATCTCATATAAACAAATACTTTTTTGTATAAGGATGTCCCATGTAATATGTAGGACAAACTTATACTAAGAAGTTGTTCAT